TTTCTTTATATTTTTATAATTTATTGTCAAGGAAGCTTCTATATACTCTACATGAAGGATATTCTTTGGAGACATAATATGAAGAAAACAATGTTTAACCCTTTTAGTTTTTAATACAAAATTTAATGTAAGATTTTTTCACTCTCGATGACCTGCCAATGAACATTGATTAGATGTCACAAAAAAATTTTAGCAAATACAATTCTTGACAAGTCTCAGCTTTTCTACCCAAGGAATCCTGAATAGAGTGTGCATCCCTGAATATGCCTGTACTTTTTTAAAGCTAAGACCAAGTTTAAGAAAAAGAAAATTCATTAGTGGCCTGAAAACAGTTGCTACTGGCTTAAAAAGTTACATGAGGTTATAGAATTAAGTATTCAAAGGCAGAGGAAAACCAGAACATGCAATTAAAAATTTCTACTTCATTTTATATTATTTTGAGGATTAAGAAGAGGCTTTACTTATTTCCATACTTCTTCCTAATACATCCATCTATTAATTAGAACCCATTTAAGCTTTTCAAATTTTTTTCCTCATTTTCTGGGAAGATATTGTTCTTTATTAATAATAAAGCAGTCCTGTTAATTTTTATTCTTTTACAAGTGCAAAATCCATTTTACAATCCATGCACTACTTCTAAAAATACTAGGTAAAGATGTAGGTGAGGGGTGACATCAGAATGTATTTTTTTTTAGTTTGGATTTTTCATCTATTCTTAAAGTTAGTATTTGCCTAATTAGTATTAGGCAAACCTAGTATTAGATGTTTAACAATATATTAACCTACCAGAGGCCTTGAAGATTGATAACTGTACTGCAGTACTGTAGTTCTTCAGTTGTGGTCACTGATCTTCCTTGTCACAACAAAAGTTTGCACAGTCCATGGTTTACTCATTACAATCCTCTTTGTTTTCCACTTTGTAAGTAAGTGAGTAACATCAGCAATCAGACAGATGGGTGGTGACAAGCTCATCACAAAGCAGTATTTCCAATCTTTGGATTTTTAAGTGTGAGTCCAGAAAGTTTGCCAGAGGATGCCAGCACTTCAACAGTTATTTATAAGAACGAAAGGGTTGCTGCTTATATTTCATATATTTGTGTGGCATCACTGTTATCCAGCAAAAGGGACATTTTCACAAAAAATGTACTTGCCTTCAAAATATAATGACATTGTATACGTTACACATTTTACATTATACATTTGGAATATTTTTCAGTTTGAGTGATGGGATTGGCAGCAATTCTTTGCTGTTAAAATGCTTGTGTTAAAAAAGCTTCAGACAAGAGAATCTGCTAACAGGGTTTCATTACTTCTTTGTTAATGTAAAGAATACTTTGGTTTTATGGACCAGATTCAAGTTTCAAAATCTTTATAGTTAAAAACAAGTAATACAAACACTAAAAAGACTAAAAATGGAAGGGTTTTTATAGTTTGTTTTTAACAAAAACTTGAATTGCTTTTCACTCTGAATTACACAACTCAAAGAATAACTGAGGAAAATATATACTGTAAAAAAGATAAAAATAAATGCTTTTGCACAGTTTGTGGCCCCTTTATTTACTTATGGACTCATCACTGTGGTGTGACCAAATGAGTTATTTGTGAGAAAAAGCAACCAGTTCAGTTCTTGAATGCATGTGCATTGGCATTTTTTAAATATATGTCATAAAACTTTCTTTGAGAAGGGTGTGGACTCCTTATATACCAACTGCTGGCAATAATTAATTTATACCAAGCAAAATTCCTGTATTTTCTACTGGACCTGCATATCTGCTATTATCCGTAAGTAGCCACTAATAATAAAAGAATGTTATTTTCTAACAATATCAAATACTCAAAGTTAATAGTAATTTTCATGGTACATTTACATGTATAAGAAGTCCATCATGTTAGAAATAAATTAGTGATTAATTTTTTATATAAAAACATTTGATGTAAGAGATGCTATTTTTTTAAATGTTTATATTTAATCACTATTTTGGAATAACCTTGATTTTTTATATTGAAATTAAGCTAATATTTCTCTTGTAATAAATTATTCATGGTTATGTACTAAATTATCTGTGTTTTTTAAACAAATGATAAAAAAGTTGTATTTCTAAACTAGAGAAGAAAACCCAAAGCTGATGTATTAGGCATGTCTGTCTCATAGCCTGTCTCAGTGGAGAGTGTTTCAGTGAGTTGTCAGGTTTTCCAGTGAAATGAAGAACATTATATAAGGAAATTAGATGTGTTTTGGTATGTAGGGCGAATGGTTAAGAAGGAGAACAAAGCAATCCTCAGAGGAAATACATTGCTAACCAAATTACAGCTTTTAAATGCTGATAGTAAACAAATCCTGGCAGCTACTCATTATTACCATACCTCAGGACAAATTAATGGGCAATTAAGTTCATTGCATAGCTGCACCAACTAAATGTAGTAGGTCAAAAAAACTTGGATAGGTTAAAAAATCTGTACAATTTTGGAAGGAAATACATCCGTTTCTATAGAAATCTGTTCTACCATCTTCATTTTCCAGCCACACTTGGAAGAACCATGCTATAAAAAAATCCTCACCCCAAAAGGTACATATTCAAAACTTTAAACTCTACCCCTCAGGGTTGCATCCTGGAGCTGTATGGGGAATTGTGTACTTCTGTAAAATGCCATTCTCTCACTCTTTAAATTCCAGAAAAATAAAACTGGCAAGTGTGCTAGGAAATACCCTTCCAGCAGGGCAGGTTTGCAGTAGCTGACTCCTTTTGGGCAGGTTTTAAAATGGTGCCATGGTTCAGAACATGGCTGGGAGGTTGAGTAGGGGTCAGAATGGTGGTGCATGAGGGAGGAGGGATGGAGATGGGCTTTGGTGTGCCTGCAAGGCCCCACATCTGTGAAATCTTGGGAGGGGAGAGGGGGAGGAGGCAGGAACTGGTCTGAAAACCAAATGGCACTGGAAATAATTATCATCAGCCCTGTACACACTAGTAATTGGTCTGCATTTCTTCTCAGGAGTACTTTGGACAAGTGAATTCATTTCACTTTCCAAAAATAAATTCCATTTTGTCAGTACTGCATCTTTTTTATAGAAAAGAGATGTATCCTAAGTGGTCGGCTCACAAAAGCTTGGAGTTCTGCCTTTTTTCCTCCAACCCATAATAAAGACTTCTTCCAAGTTTTCTTATGTTTGATCAGCAAATTTTTAGCTAAATTTTTATAAATGCTGAAGACTCCTACAGCCTTTGATGGAAGGTTTTCTGTATGGAGGTGTCTCCTTTACTGCTTTTCCCATATCTCATTTTTATCACATGGAAGTTTAAAAAAACAGCAAACAGACATCTCTTTATGGTCAGTGTCAAGGATGTGACTCACTGTTCATCCATTTTTTGCCCTGTTAGAATATGGTTAGAATTTGAACTAAGCTCACAGTCACCATGAGGTCTAAGGTGGCCTGCTGTACAGTCTTTATGTAAGGGTGTAGCTGTTCTGGTAAATAAATACACTGTAGATACCTGACCTTTGTACTGCAGAGCATTTCTTGCTGCCGATTAAGCACCAGTATCACTGACTCTGAAGCAAGTTCTAGTGTTTTTTCATTTATTTACTGTCAGCTTGATGATAGCAGCTGTTAAATTTATCCATGTCAGAATGTTAATAACAGTTTCTTCAAATTTTTCCCCATGCAGCCTACAGAAAGATGATATTGGGAAGTGGAAGCCTGGCAGGCAAGCATTATTAGCTCCAGGTATTAGACCAGCATGTTTCCAGGATGGGTGCATATTTACCATGGGACAGCTTAGTGAGACAGGCAGGAACAAGGTGCTTAGAGTACATAAAACCTAATGGAGCTGATTTTTACTGCATGGTGCTGTAGCATGTTACATATTAACTTGCAGTAATATGGCAAAACCAGTTTTACAATGTCTGTTAAAAAAGAGGCCTCGTACATTATGCAAAGTCCCCATGTGCTTTATATTGTGGGGAGAGTTTGAGTTTCACATTTGTAGTGCATCATCTGCTGAAAAGCTTTGTACTTCTGTGGCCTGGGCATAGGCTGTGGCGGGCTCCATGTGTGTACCGTGTCATTGTCTCAGTTTTAGCCAAGAAGGAGCAGAGCCAGGACACCTCACCTGAAGTGGCCCAGGGGATATTTCATACCACAGAACATCATGATCAAGTGTGGAAACTGGTGGGGAGAGGGAGGGAAGTTGGCTGGGGCTGCTGGTTACTGCCTGTGCATGGGCTGGGCATCAGTCAGCAGGTGGTGAGCACTGGTTCTGTGCATCACTGGTTTCTCTTGGCTTTTATTCCTCTCTTTTTCTCCTTTTAATCGCTATTGCTATTGTTACATTTTGCTTTCTTTCAGTTATTAACCTGTTCTTATCTCAACCTACAAGTTTTACCTTCTGATTCTCTCTCCCATTGGGGCAGAGACAGTGAGCAAGCAGCTGCGTGGTACTGTTGTCAGCTGGGGTTAAACCACAACTGTCATAGATCTGCATTCAGTTGTAGGTCTGATAAAGGGCTGAATGCTCATAAATAAAATAAAATCATTATAAAAGTAAACAGTGACATCAGTTGGTGGCAATTCTTCTGGCAAATTACATGAAATAATGAGAATATCGTGCTTTACTTGATGCAGAAATGCCTTAGAAGTGTGTTTGAAGATACTCCCCAATGTTCAAGCAACGGGATTTACAATTTCCCATGGGTTGAATGACTATCAAAATACTATTGCAGTAGAGATGACTGATTACTGCCAGGACTATGTTTGATTATGAGATGCTGTAATCTTTTGAAAATTCAAAACTTTGTGGGGTTTGCTATATTCAATTTTATTGTTACAGTTATTTTTTAAGTTTGGAAATCAAAAATTAAACTGGCTCAATTTGTGACAAAAATTAAATTGAACTCAATCATTCTTTATCTAGCATGTTTTATATATTTTGTCTACAAAGCCCTATAAAACTAAATATTGTGATGTATCTACCTATAAATAATTCACAATGTAATCATATATTTTCAAGAACATATTTATTTATAATGGTCTGATTATTTAGTTTCAAATAATTATGAATTTTATCTGCCTTTCCTTCTCTACAATATATTTAATACATTGACCATATTTAAGGTTTAAAATTAAAAGTGAATAATAACATAACAAGCAGGGGTACAGCCATGTTCATGAAAGGTATCATAGGTTCCATCTGAGCTTTGCTGTCAGGTTCCAGTTTTAACTTGCCAATTTACCATTCTGGGCATTTGAAAGGGGAGGACTAAGGCACTTGTGGGCATTGGAGTAGGCAAGAGCAGGGGAATGGGAGACAATATTGGAAAATTGTGTGAGAGGTTGGAATAAAATAATCCTTGCTCCCCTTCTGTTACTCAGAATTGGAATAGTAGACACCTTGACCTGGAATGCATGTTTAAAATGGCTCCAGAGGTGCTCAGTCTTTTCAGTCTCTCAGATGTGACTTGGGAGCCGCTATCTGAGGGTGGCTGCCTTTGCTCCCTTTGCCTGCCTTTGTGGGCACTGCTCCAGCAGCCAGTCACTTAGCTTGCTGTCCCTGCTCTGGCTCTCCAGGGCTGGATGCTTTGCAGTACACAGGGATTGCCTTGAAGAGCTTTATCAGAGGTTCTTCCACCATTTTTGCTGCTGCCAGTCAGTATTCCCCAGTGTAAGTACAAATATTGTAATAATACTGATGCAAGAATTAGTGTAGCTCCGAACAAAAGAATGAATAAAAATATCTATAAGGTGAGTAGACTTGGTTACTCTTTTCAGACAGGAGAGTTTTCTCCCTAACAATGAAAGCAAAGCCTTGAGAGTCCCAAACCAGTCTCCTGCAGTATCTTTCCCAAATAAGTAAAAACTGGGCCAAGACCAAACAGCTTCAATATGTAGGATGCTGGTACTGTGATTCAGGTAGAAACCTCTGTAAAAGGTTGAGGGTTTTTATACCAGCTACATTAGTGGCATGTTTAATGCTGACCTTTCAATAAATATACTGGTATAAAAGCTGTGATTATGTCAGCTCTGTTAGACCTCTGAGGGCCACTGTTAACTC